CTAAAAAATTTTAACTTGTGTGTATGGTATTTAATATTGTTCGATATTTTACAAAATCGAGTACTAATTATCTAATAAAGACAATTAAATGTTACAAAGCTAGAAATTTTTATATAATAGGTATCATGTGTCTTAAACAATGAGTTGTGCTATTTTTTATCCATTTAAGTTAAGTAAATTATTTTAGATGTTACTATTTTTAAATCTCCAATTATGTATTACATTATGTAATGTTATGTATTAATTTTTAAAACTAAAAGTTAAGAGGGGCGAAAACATATATATCTAATTAAAGTATGAAAATATTACATATATAGTAGAAAAATTTGAAACTCCAAGGGGGGCGGTCGCCCCCCCACGCCCCCCCTTAAATCCATCCCTGGTCTCAGGAAAAATCGGGAGTTGAGCCTAAGGTGGGAGTTAAACCGGATCTCAATAATAACTGGAAGGGTGGCCAGAGGCTAACACAAGCAGAATTACAAGACAGAAGCAAGAAGGGGCTATGTTTCAAATGCGGGGAAAGATGGGGCAAGGATCATGTGTGCAAAATGAAATACTACCAGTTTATTCTCACAGAGGGGCCTGAGGAAGAAGCAGATACTATGGATTCAGAAGTGAATTTGAAAGAGACAGATATCTCCCTAGAACCGCAACAAATGCAACTGTCAGCCATGAGCAAACAAGGGATCACTACACAAAAGACTTTCAAGTTGGAAGGGAAATTGATGGAAAAGGGGTTACACAGATCTGTGTTGATCCTGATTGACAGTGGAGCCACCCATAATTTCATATCACAAGCCATAGTGGAGGAATTACAATTGCCATACATCCAAATTGATGGATTTCAGGTGGAATTGGGTAATGGGGACAGAGTGAGCAACAATAGGAGGTGTGTGGGATTGCAGGTTGGGGTGCAAGGCCTTAATATTACACAAAACTTCTACCTGTTGGAGCTGGGAGGGACAGATTTAGTGTTTGGGGTTGAATGGCTTGCCAGTTTGGGGAATGTAGAGATCAATTTCCAGGATCTCACACTTCAGTGGTGGGAAGACGGGAAAATAAAGAGCCTAAAAGGGGATCCAACTTTAAATCAAGTGCAAGTTTCCTGGAAAGCACTTGTAAAGGCTATTAAAAATGAAGGCCAAGGTTTTTTTGTGACCTGTGGGAATCTTCAGGGTGAATCTGTTAATGGGGCTGCACCAGGAGGATTTTGGCAGGACGTGTTGGACAAGCATAAGGAGGTTTTTCAAATGCCAGCAGGGTTACCCCCTAAAAGAAGTTGTGATCATGCTATCAACATTAGGGAAGGAGCTGAAATACCTAACATACGACCCTACAGGTACCCTCACTACCAGAAAGATGAGATAGAGAAAATTGTGAAGGAGTTGCTAAATACAGGGATTATCCAGCCCAGTACCAGCCCGTATAGTAGTCCTGTGCTCTTGGTTAAAAAGAATGATGGTAGTTGGAGGTTCTGTGGAGATTACAGAGCCCTAAACAAGATCACAGTGCCTGACAAGTACCCCATACCCATAATTGAAGAGTTACTGGATGAATTGGGAGGAGCCACGGTATTCTCTAAGCTTGATCTGAAATCGGGCTACCACCAGATCAGAATGAAAGAAGAGGATAGACACAAGACTGCTTTTCGAACGCATGAAGGACATTACGAGTACCTGGTAATGCCTTTTGGATTAACAAATGCACCTTCCACTTTTCAAGCTTTGATGAATCAGATTTTAAGGAAGTATTTGAGGAAGTTTGTTTTAGTATTTTTTGATGACATACTTATCTACAGTCCTTCAGAAAGTGAACACAAAGAACACTTGAGTACCATCCTACAATTACTCAAGGACAACCAGTTGTATGCTAATCCTAAAAAGTGTATAATAGGGCAGAAACAACTGACCTACTTGGGTCATATAATTTCTGGGGAAGGAGTAGCTGCTGACCCGGGGAAGGTTAGGGACATGTTGGACTGGCCCGAACCTAAAGAAGTCAAAGGATTGAGGGGATTTCTGGGCCTAACAGGTTACTACCGGAGGTTTGTAAAAGGGTATAGTAAGATTGCAGCGCCCCTAACAAACCTATTAAAGAAAGATGCATTTAAATGGAACCCCGAGGCTTCTCACGCCTTTGAACACTTAAAGAAAGCTATGACAACTCTACCTGTTCTCAGGGTTCCGGATTTTACAAAGACTTTTGTGGTTGAGGCAGATGCTTCCGGGACAGGTGTAGGAGCAGTTTTAATGCAGGAGGGGAGACCTGTGACTTATATGAGTAAGATTTTATCTAAGAGGAACCAGAATAAATCGGTGTACGAAAGAGAATTGATGGCAATCGTACTGGCTATACAAAAATGGAGACCCTATTTATTAGGCAGGGTCTTCGAGGTGCACACGGATCAGAAAAGCCTGCGGTTTCTAACAGAACAGAGAATAATGGGGGAAGAACAACAAAAGTGGGTTGCCAAGCTTTTGGGATACAATTTTGTGATTAAGTACAAACCCGGCAGTGAGAATAAGGCAGCAGATGCCCTCTCCAGGAAGGGTAGTATACACAGTTTGTCCGTTGTTACCTGTCAAGAGTGGGAAGGGCTAGATGAGGAATTGAAGGCAGATCAGAGATATCAGAATATCATACAAAGAGTGATAGGAAATCCAGCTAGTATACCAGATTTCAAGTTCAGAAATGGCTTATTGTATTATCGAGGAAGATTGGTACTACCTAAGCAATCTCCTAGAATACCTCTAATTTTGAAAGAATTCCATGATTCTGCAATTGGAGGGCATGCCGGGGCCTTCAGAACTATGAAGAGAGTATCTGGTTTATTCTATTGGGTTGGCATGAGAAGGGACATACAAGAATATGTGCAAGGATGTGAAGTATGCCAAAGAAACAAGTATCAGTCCCTCAGTCCAGCAGGATTATTGGAACCTTTGCCCATCCCTGACAGAATATGGGCAGATATCAGCATGGATTTTATTGGAGGGTTGCCCAAGGCTCAAGGGAAGGATACAATTTTGGTGATAGTGGACAGGCTAACCAAATATGCCCACTTCATAGCCCTTGTACATCCTTACACAGCCAAGGAGGTGGCAGAAGTCTTCGTTCAGGAGGTGGTACGATTACATGGATTCCCTAAATCCATAGTATCTGACAGGGATAGGGTCTTCTTGAGTTCTTTTTGGTCAGAATTGTTCAGGATGGCAGGCACCAAACTGAAGTACTCCACAACTTACCATCCTCAAACTGACGGACAAACGGAGGTGGTGAACAGGTGCTTAGAAACCTACTTGAGATGTATCACTGGATTGAAGCCTAAACAGTGGCCTAAATGGCTCTCATGGGCCGAATATTGGTACAATACTAATTATCACATATCTATCAAGAATACCCCCTACAAGGCCTTATATGGACAAGATCCTCCCGCTATTGTGAGGGGAGATGTAACTGTGACATCAGTAGAAGAAGTCAACAAGTTGACGGCTGAGAGGAATTTAATGCTAGAAGAATTGAAGAGCAGTTTAGCTATGGCCCAAAACAGGATGAAGCAGCAGACTGACAAACATAGACGGCCCTTACAAGTGGAGGTGGGAGACAAGGTATTCTTAAAAATTCAGCCTTATAAAATGAAAAGTCTAGCTAAAAGGATGAATCAGAAGTTAAGCCCAAGATTCTATGGGCCTTTTGAAGTGATAGAAAAAATAAATCCTGTGGCATTCAAACTGAAACTACCCGAGGGTTGCACAGTGCATCCAGTGTTCCATATCTCTTTGCTGAAGAAGGCAGTATCTCCTAACCTTCCCTGCCAGCCCCTACCTACCTGCATCTCAGAAGAGTGGGAGTTACAAGTGCAGCCTGAAGAGGTGGTGGATTACAGAGTAAATCCTAATGGGGAGAAGGAAGTGCTAATTCATTGGAAGCAGCTGCCAGCTTTTGAGGATTCTTGGGAAGATTTAAACAAGTTTCAGAAGCAGTTCCCAACATTCCACCTTGGGGACAAGGTGGTAGTTCAAGGGGAGGGTAATGATAGCACAAGGGGTGTAGAGTATTTTAATAAAGTGTATGTGAGGAGGGGAATGAAGGGACGGGAGTTTATGTGAGGAGGGGAATGAAGGGACGGGAGTTTATGTGAGGAGGGGAATGAGGGGGCAGGAGTAATTAATGTGCTGGTTTGATTTCTGAATATAAGGAAGGGAGGGGAATAGGGGAGGGCAAGCTGGTATTCAGTTAGAAATGGCTGGGCTTTGGCTAGAGAGAAACTCCTTGTTCCTTCTCTAGATTTGGTTGTTATTCTCTTTATCTTCCCTGTAATCAGTCTGGAGTATTGAGAATTCCTCAATCTCCATTGCTAATAATACGGAAACTGTTTGGTGATATTCTGGTTTCTAACAAAGACCAATAATAGATTATATATGTAGCAAGCTTGGAGCCCATGATATATATGCTCCAGCTTGAGGGGGAGTGTTGGAAATAGCATTTAAAGCATATGTCTTTTTATATTCCAGACTTTCCAGCAGCTTAACTTTTCATTTTCCTTTATGTCTTTCAGTTTTCCTTTGTCCTCCAATGTATCATTTACTTCCCTATATATATGGAAGTCATAATGTATGATCTAATATGAGTAATACAAAAAGCTTCTCTTCCTAAATCAACAGAACATAACCATTATACTGAAAATACCTCTCCACAAGATTTGCCATTTTATGTTTGGACTAGTTATGGATTCTATTAATCTGGGTTGCGAAATGTCTTTAAGTTCGTATGGAGCATTTGTTACTTGGTTATTCACTTTCTTTCTCTGTTGCTCATCATTAAGGTCATACTCATAATTGGTTACCAATAATGATGCTGGTGGACCTGTAATGATTTTCTCAGTATGTATTCTATATTTTGTTTTACTATCATTTGAAGTTTCAACCACTCTTTTATCTCAATATTCTTCAAGGCATTAATCTTTTGTGTTCACTTAATTAGGGTTTATATAAATGTTGCAGGAACTGGGTGTCAACTGTATAGAGCTAATGCCATGTCATGAATTTAACGAGCTGGAGTATTATAGCTATAATTCTGTCTTAGGTGATTATAAGTAAGACTTCACATCTCCTGAAGTGCTCTTAAGGTTGGACCTAGTGTGCATAGCTTCTATACTAGCATATGACTAGATCAGGCCTTTGCTGGCTTTGCATGTTCTCAAGGTTGCGTATCCTATTAAAAATTTGTACCTGAGGCTTCTAGTATGATAGTGGTTTGTGAATCGTGTCCTTTAATCTGTGTGTCTGTGACTATATATACTGTGTATATCTATGCATGCATGCATGCATGTTGCATGTATATATGCATGCATGCATGTATGTATGTATGCATGCATGTATGTATGTATGTATGCATGTATACATATTTTCATGACTTTATGCATGTATGTATGTATGTATGCATGTATACATATTTTCATGACTTTATGCATGTATGTTGTATGTGTGTATGCATGTGTGCAGTGTGCACACATGTGTGAATGTATATATACACGTGCTTGTGTGTGCATAAGTGTGTATGTATGTGTGTGTGTTGTTTCAATGGGTACCACCTGTACATAAGTATTTCTGCTTATAACTAAAATAAAATTAGTAGGCGCATATTTCATTGCAAACATTAAATGAATCATAGAATGATCATTTGATCTTAAATCTAATGTTTTAAATAATTAAATTTGGTCCTTATAAATGAATGAAACTGCACCTATGTATGATATGCGTCTCTGTGTTGCAAACGTCACCCTCAATTGTCTCCTAAAGTTGTATTTGTGTCCTTCATGTTACAGTGTCAGACAAAATTCAGCTCGGTTGACCAAGATTCATAAAGTTATGAGCTGCAAAGCTTTAAGATGAGCCTTTCATATTGAAATCGAAAAACGCAGCAAGGACTTTTTATTTTCAGGGAGGAGATAAATTGTTTAAGTAGTATATGATCATCAACCTTTGTGATATAATGATGTTATTGCTCCTTGCCTCCTTGATATTGATTCTTTGCCAAACTTTGCAGTAGTGGGGTTGAGAAATAGGAAATATCAAGTCTTCTTTGAGATTAAGGCCATTTTGGTCTTGTGACTTTCTAGTTGGCTAGTTGAAGTGTCCATATGTTGTACGTAGTATATATATTGGGAGTCTTTCTCAAATTAAATACAAGGGAAAGCTCTCTTTTCTCCTCTTCTTGAACATGTATTAGAGCAGAGCATTATTGGTCCACCGCTGCTCGCCTGCTCCACTGCTACAAACCCGCGGGTCCAGAGAAAGAGCTCACCTCCAGCGAGATTTTCTGGCAATCCTGTTTTGTTTTTCTATTCTGTTTCCGCCAACTTCATCAGTATCTTTGGTTCCTCTTGTGTTAAAATGGCACTCAAGGAATTTATTGATAAATTATCTCTTGAATCTATACTTTTCCTTTCTCTGTTTTGTCCCTGACAAGTAATAACCCAATTGTAGTCTCTAGAAAGTGATGGGGATTACAAAATTACCTATTTTCCCCGACCCCATTGAATTATGGTTTATGGGCCAAGGAGTTGTTGACCACTAAAGAGGGGGCAAAAAGTGTTCCAGAAAATTCAAAGATAATTTGGGAAAAGGTTGATTCTCAACTGTGTAATTGTTATGGTTTTGTCTATCTCTTGAATTGTTGCCTGTATATATAGCCTTTAGGACACATGTGTATGCGGAATCAAGCTAAGGCCTTGTACACTATTGATATCTCTCACTTTATGTTGAGGCTGTTTGGTTAACCTAAGGAAAGAAGGTACAAGTATGAAGTATGGATTCTATGGAAGTATAGAAGCCTCGAAGTGAAGCTTTTAGGTAAAATTATGCCAATTGGTGGGATAACTTTAGAGCAATTAGTTTAATGCGAAGATTTGGTGTGGTGCTTCTATTGTCCAGTCTTGGTTGATTTTTTTTGAAAATAATCAGATGAAAAGTACTTGAAAGCAATACTATTCCGGGCACCATAATCGTTCAAATGACTCTTGCAAGCTACCTCCCCTGACTTATTCATCTTAGAGGACATAGTACAGTCATCATAGAGAACATAGTGAACATGCTGGGCAAGGAGTGCTTAACATTGGTGCATCGGAATATTGCAAAGAAATGGGTAATTGATGACAGTGGCATTGGAAGCGACATGGAAGATCAATTAATGTGGCTCCAAGTCTCCAACTAATTAAGAAGATTAGAGGATTCAAACTGTATCAGCTACAGAATATGAAGAGGTTGCTCGGTTTAAAGCCAAAGCAGTTACTATTACCCCCAAAGAACTACATCTCCCGACTTGAACATAAGTCGGGAGAATCATTTTTATTCTGTAGTCTTACATCCTCCATGCCTCTTTCTTGTAATATATTTGGAAATAGATCGAAGTATACACCCACTGGAATTGGGGAGATTTTGCCCCTTCTAGGTTTACCTTTGTCTACAGTCTTTTACATATTATAATGTGCTTCAATTCGGTTTATGCCTGTAAGCTTACACAATCTTTAGATTTCATTGTCACATTTCCTGGACTATGTATATGTGGAGGACTGTGGTTTTGGAAAGATGATATGCTCAAGGTATGAATGGACTGTATCGAAAGCCTAAGTCTTCATTCCAACTTGGTGTTCAGACTGCTATTCTTCCTCCACCCCTTGCTCATTATTGACTAGGACATCCTAGCATCAGTAGGTTACAACAACTTGCTCGAAGTTTCCGGCTGTCCATCTTAGAATGTGAAGCTTCTCAATTTGGAAAATGTTATGGGTGTCAATCTTAATCGTTCCAAGAAAAGGTCAAAACGATCATACCACCTTTTTGCATAGTTTATGGTGATCAATGGGGACCGTGTTGTTTTACTTGAATTTAGGTTTTAAATATCTTGTGATCTTTCTTTCATGGCACGTCGATTTTTCCAGTGCACATAAAGTTTGCGCAACACCGGCTTGTGATCTTTCTTGGTTAAACAGATGCAGATTGGGCAGGATGTGTTCGGCATAGAGTCTTTATCATCTGAACTGAAAGTCACATTCCTTCTTGTTATGCTATTGTGATAAAAGTTTGTAGTAAGAACTAGAATAGTAGAATCACTACATTTATCGTCATTAATTATTTTGGTTGACACTTCTCCTTCACTTTTAAGGATTTTTGAGTGCTGATTTGATGCTAGTTGCTTTACCTTTCAACTTATTCTTTCCCTGGAATGTTAATGGCATTGTGATCGACCTTTTGTTTTTTTAGGTTAAACTTTTGGGGCTATTCAACTGTAAATTTCTTTTCTCCAATGGCACGGTATTCATCAGCTAGGATGGACAAATCTGGTCCTGGTGCCATACAAGAGTTCAAGTTTCTTGTTAGGGAGGCCCATAGAAGGGGAATCGAGGTGAAAGCTCCCTTTCTCGATCTTTCATTATTTTGTGTTGTGTTCTCCTGAACTCTTCTACTTATACTCCACCAGGTAATCATGGATGTTGTTTTCAATCACACAGCAGAAGGGAATGAGAATGGCCCCACACTCTCATTTAAAGGCGTTGACAACAGTATTTTTTATATGCTTGCACCCAAGGTATATAATCTTGGTGTCTATCTTTTAGCATTTGTTATCTTATTTTTTGGCATAGAAACCAATATTTAGGCCGTGCTATGCAAAGTATGCTTTTTCTGATGCCGTCTCTTATGAATTCTTAAGAGCTCAATTTTTTCTGCTTCTTTGCCTTCCTTTTGTGCTTCTGCATACTATTTTTCACTGGATTTGATTAAAATGTTGTTGTTCAGCGCTAGAGATTTTCATCATTTGTATTAAATAAGCATCCTATTTTACATAGCCTGTACAGATTTATTCAGACAAATCTTTTATAAGATGATCTTTAATATTACTACTTTTTTATATTAACACCAACTTTCTCCTGTTCCAATGGATAAGAACCTTACTGTCATGAACTTTCAAACGTGTGCCCAGTGCCCTAGAACATTTCATGCTTCACGTTCTATCAATCGTGGTTTCTTTTCCCTAACATGTTTCTCAACATCCATTTTGAAAAGGTTAAAAAACAAAAGAAATTACTCCCTCTGTACCATTTTGGTTGTCTTACTTTCCTTTTCGGGTTGTCCCAAAATGAATGTCATGTTTCCCTTTTTGGCAAGAAATATGTGGTCTTTATCATTTCACTTTATTCTACTTAAATCGCAACCTAAACTTTTACTTTTCGACCACTTAATTAATAATCGTGCCAAACTAAAACAAGACATCCAATATGGGACAAAGGTAGTACTCCGTATCAAACTTTGGATTATGCTTCTCTTTTCAGATTAATATCTTTAGTTTTTTTTCACTCGAAAAGACTTATTTTTTGCTCCTTTGGATGAAATAAGGATTCAATATTTTATAATAATATAATATGATACCTTTTATATTGTACTGTCATAGTAGTCAATGGCGAGATATGGTATGCGCCATATGCGCCATCGCCATGAAAAAGTGGTCGTCGCCATAGCGCCAGATCGGAAGTAGTCAATGGCGCAAATGGCGATCGCCATGTCTCGCCTTTGGCGATTCAGGGGGTCCTCGCCACTATTTTTGGCTATGGCGCACAGGTTACAGGTTGCGTTGCCAAATGTGCGCTATCGCCATTTTGCGCCAAATAATGGCGCTATCGCACGCGTCTGGGTCGCGACTTTGGTTCGATGGTTGTAGTCGCTGTAGCTGGTCTCCGTTGCAGTTGCTGTAGCTGGTCGCCGTCGCTGTAGCTGGCCGCGTCACCCTCGATTGTTGCTGAAACTGGTCGCAGACTCTAATCGCACGCAGACTGCTTGCTTCGCGGTTTTAGTTCTACGCTATTTTAGATTGAAGTCTGGCAAAAGCCTTTCTCTGAAACCCGTTCTTTATTTTGGTAAAGTTAAATGCCTTCTCTGTTTCTTTGTTTCTCACTTCCTCTCATTTTCTGTGGGCCAGTTGACTGGACGGTTGGACCATATAAGTAATTTAATTTGATTTGGATTATTTTTGGTGCTATTTTTTGGTATATTTTAAAATTTAACTCTTTAATTGGTGGTTAAGTCATGCACATATATTGTGTATATGTTATGTTTAATTTTTTTATGTTGTGTTTTACTGGTGCGCCATTTTTGCGCCATCGCCATTGCCGCACGAAATCACCCCTGCGCCATGCCAGTCGCCGTGCGTCGTGACTACTATGCGCCAGATGCGCCAGATGCGCCATTCATATATGCGCCATCGCCATGCGCCATGGAAAATGCCTTTGAGCCATGGCGATCGCCATGCGCCATGACAACTATGTGTACTGTACAAGTTAAGGCAGTATATGTAAAGTTGTACTTTGTAAAGAACAAATCATGTGTAAGCTGGAACTATGTGGAACTGTTTATTGTATTATAATTTTTGAACTTGTGATCTCACTTTCTCCTATGATTTTTATATTGAACTTGTAGGGAGAGTTCTATAATTATTCCGGCTGTGGAAATACCTTCAATTGTAACCATCCTACAGTACGTCAATTTATATTGGATTGCTTAAGGTCAGCTATTTCCCCTACCTTTTTATTCGATATTTTGTTTTCACCACCACCACTGCTTTACTCCAATGTATAGAATATGAGAGGGAAAATTTATGTAGTTATATGTAGTATAATGACATAGAATCTATCCCTATTTATTATTTTAACATAAATGTACGATATAGGCTAAGCCCACTATGATTAAAGTTAAGTTTCAACATTCTCAAATTGGTGCAAAGTTTTTTAAAAAGCACTAAACACACCAAAGACACATTGGACTTCTTTGCTTTGAAGAGCAAAGCAAAGCGTCTTTTTCATAGAGTGAAGTGAAAGTACTAACACCGATTCACACATAATAATTTGATTTTAGAAGAAGTCATAACAACAAAAAATAGTACAATAAGAAAAACAAAATCCAAGCCTCTGTCCCAAAAGATTTCGGGGCCGGCTGACATGAATCGATACATGATATCGGAATCAAAAGGAACACAAAGATAAGAAAGATTAAAAAATAAGATATGATAAAAAGATCAGATAAAGATAAATATAAATATAAGATAAAGATAAAAATGCTAAGATAAAAAGGACAAAAAGAATATATGTAAAATAAAATGGATAAAAGGATAAAGAACATAAGAAAGATAAAGAAGATAAAATGATAAAAAAGATAAGAGATCAATCCTCCCCACGAACATCTGCCCTCCACTTTGCTCTCTCCAAAGCCATACCCCCATCCAACCCAAAAAGAAGCATATCACTTCTAAGTCCTCTAATCCGCGTCTGTTTGGGTCTTCCTCTCCCTCTCCTCCCCACCTCTCAACTCGTCTAATAGGTGCATCACTTGGTCTTCTACGCACATGACCAAACCACCACAATCGAGACTCCCGCATCTTATCTTCAAAAAGTGTTACTCCCACCTTTTTCTGATTGTCTCATTCCTTAAGCGGTCTTTACATCCAACGCAACACGCACATCTTTGCCACACTCATCTTTTGAATGTGACAATGTTTTACCGTCCAGTTCCCATTGAAACCGTGGCTTTTGCCTTGCTTTTTTTAGAAGCACTCATTTACTGTATGCTCGCCTACTTCACAATATCTCCCTGTCCCATATCATCTTTATAAAAAAAACTGAAACCAATTCGGGGAATCGGGGGGTATCCCTATATTGTGCTTTTGAGACAAAAGCACGTTGACCTGTTATTGGGATGATAACTTATCATGTCATTGCGCTTTGCACAATAAGCGAGCTCTTAGGCACTTTCCACAGGTGTACCCGAATAAGTATGTTACATATGTAATCTATTCTAGAACATGCATGCGACTTCAACACTTTTGACTTTGTTTAGTTTTTATTGCTCTCGTACTTAAAAAAAAACTACTCATGAAAAAAGGATAAGCTAAGGAGTCCTCATTTAACCACAAGTCACTGGAGAATTTCCCAGAACATCATAACCAATTAACCATACTACATTTGATATACATCATGTAAACTCATATGTCATTTTTATAATGCATTCGTGAAAAGTGGACACATATGTCAAAATATCAAAGCACAAGTTCAACTGCTAAAACAGAGCTTAATCATCGCACAGCCTGCTGAAATGGGGAGACATAATTAACTGAGACAAAATCCTTGTAAACTGCCAAAACCTGCATACTATATATAATAATTGTGTGACCCAAGTCAAAGATGGACTCATTGTCCCGACTTTGTCCTTAGGTTGAGATTATATATCAGATCCTCTTTCTTAGCTCATACTCCCTCCGGTCCTAAATAAACTTCATAGTTTGACTGTACGGTTTTTAAGAAAGTGGAATTTTTACTTTTGACTTTACCATCATGCCCCTACAAAAAGGTGATAAAGTGTAGTTGGAGAGAGAAAGTGGGTGTAAAGTAGGTAATAAAGTAAGGGTATAGGAGTAACTTTATGTTAAAAACTTGCCAAAAATAGAAGTGTGAAGTTTATTTTGGACCTACCCAAAAAGGAAAGTGTGAAGTTTATTTAGGACCGGAGGGAGTATGACAAAGACAACACCTGTATGTGTTTTGTAATAGCTAACTTCAGCGTTTGCGTCATGCTGATGCCAATTTGGTTGGAATATAGCTATCAGGTGTGTGTCAGCCCTTTTATAATTATATACCATGTGACTATGCAATGAAAGGAAGAAACGGCAATGGAGCTTATTTATAATATATATCAAAATTCACATGCCAGTGAAATGGGTATTTGTACATTTAGTAATAAGGTCCAACTCTTCAATCTTCATCTAACCAATAGCATGATTGATGTGAGTTTTCTCGCACTTAAATTAGTAGTAGAACAGCGGTGAAAGTACGAGTATCGTCTCCACATGAACGGGAAAAGGGAATTAAGGACTAACTAAATTCAGTGATTAAAAATAAATAAAAACTGCAGTCGTGCGAGAATTGGTTGATTGAGAAAATTAAAATTGCAAATAAACGAATAAAAGTAAAGATTTGGGTTCTTCTTAAATAACGACGAAGGGAACAAGGATTGATTCCGGGGTAATCAAATTTCTGGTAGATCAGGCCTAATTACATGAATTTAATTTAATTGAGCCTAGCTAATCATTACTAAGTTCTTACCGCTCTCGCGGCGTAGAATACAATAATTTAGGGGACCAGGCTGATCTCTCATGCGGCAGAATCCTAAATTATTGTCAAGACGAGCGAGCTTGCGGCCCCTTAATCGCTACTAATCTCTTAGCGGACGATTAAGTGTGTGTGAAAGTGTCTTAGAATAAACTAGATCTCTCTTAATTTATTCTACAAGCAATTGTAAGTCTAGCCGCGGTTCTAGGTTACAAAAGATAGCAATTAAATTATTCAAACACAAATTAAACGGAATTCATGCAATTAAACCATCAAGAATCTAGCCATACATCATGATCAACCCCTTCATCAATCCCAAATCCCTAATTAAAACTACTCCTGACTCATAATTGAAGAATCAATAGAATTGGGAAAAATAGAAATAATTGTCATTAATTAAAAAGTAGAAACTTACAAAGAATCTTAAAGAATTAAAAAACCAAGGCTGAAAAGCGCCTAAAAGCGACAAAGCGCAGGCGAGCGCTAAACCTGCGCCTGGCTTTTGAGAAGCGCCGCACCATGAGAAAGCGAAGATTTTCCGGTGCTTTTCCTTGAGCTCGCTTAATGAAAAGCGATCGCTTTTCATGGATTCTCACAAAAAGCGGTAAATTGATCAGTCATTGTTTTTTTAAAATTTGGTCTTCTCATCTGGACGCTACGAGTTAGGGTTGTTCGACTCTGTCCCACTCCAGACATAGCCGTACTCCAGAGTCCATACATAGCGCTTTAAGAAATCGCAGGTGAAGAGCCGAAGAGGAGTTCTCCCAGGTCACCGATGTTTCCAAGTCGCGACTCGTAGGTGAAGAAGAGTAGTTCTCCCAGACTTTCTCGCCGGTGCTGCGCAGGTTCACCATCATTCTTTTTCATCATCGTTCTTCAATTTTACGTGATTGTAGTTGGAGCCCTGAACTTCAGCAGCTCACTTTACTCTGTTTCAATTTTACAGTTTACTCTATTTCTATAATAAGCTTCTAAAATAGCCTATAATGAAAGAAATCATTATATTACCATTTTCTTGGTAATTATGATATTTTTAAACAACTAAATTATATATCATAATGAAAGCATTGATAGCTAATGCCTTTTGTTGAAGAGTGAAATCATTTTCTTGGTAGTAACTAGTAATCGTACTTATTATTCTATCAAGAATTAATGTAGTAAATTATTTACAGAAAGATCAATCTGTCTTCACATTAGTCGTTAGTTACTCAAATGTATTCGGAGCTAAATTAAATTCCAGTTTATTACTTTCGGTTTATTGATTAATTAATTTTTTGTTTATTCCATGCTATTCCTTTCACTTTATTGATTAATTGATTAATTAATTGTTTTTCATTCCAATTTATGACTTTTATGATTAGTTATGTGTTTTTGCGTAATTTTGTGATGAAGGTTTTGAAATTTATGCTGCACTAGTATTATTTTGAATGATTTTATGACTACTAATGCATTTTTGGCATAATTATACATTATATTTTATATTTTCTTTTATTTTTTAAGCATCGCTTTTTGTGAGAAAGCTACGCTTCGCTTAGCGCTTTCGCTTTTAATCAAAGCCCAGGGTCGTCGCTTTTGGACGCTTTTCGCTTTAAAAAAGTTTGTTCTAAGTTCCATCCCCCTTAATTAGGGTTATGGAGGTGTCATTTATAGGAAACAAAGCAATTTGGGCTGAATTAGGAAAGAAACGGGGTACGCACGGCGCCCACGCACGCGTGCGTGGCGTCCGACAGATACCCGCAAAAAACGTTGGACGCACACGTGCGTCCCTTGCCACGCACGCGTGCGCCCCTTGCCACGCACGCGTGCGTGGATGCCAGTAGGGTCCAGATCGTTTTCTTCATCTGACGCACGCGTGCGTCCTTTCACGCACGGCCGTGCGTCTATCCTTAATGCTCTTGGCCGCTACTGCCACGCACGCACGCGTGCGTCCTTGCACGCAGGACCGTGCGTGGCCTTTTTTCTTCCGATTTCTTCGTCTTCTTCCGTTCACATCCCCGTTTCGCCCCACGATCAATCTAAAAGTTCTTTCTTCCTCGAATCTTCATCGTGAATCTTCCGGTGGCCTTCAAAACTCTGAATTCACTCTCGAACGCTTCTTAATTCGTCCCGATCACTCCTCAAGCGCCGATACCGGGCCTAAAAGACCTGATTTCAACTCTAAAAATACCAGAACTCGTTCCAACACCCAACTAACATGGCTTGAGCTAAAATTGACACTTATGACGCCTTAAAGCTAGGAAAACCATCAAAATCCGACTCCAACACGCATCAAATGCGTGTTGTAATACGAACTTATCAGATTCCCCCACACTTAAGCTTTTGCTTGTCCTCAAGCAAATCGAACGGGACTTACGATAATCACCACACGAAATTAAAACAATTAGCATGCACACGTAGTTACAGAG